GGTCGCCCGCGTGGCAGGCGAGCATTCTACCACTGAACCACCAGTGCATGCCTAATAGTCCGTTACCACTTACTCACAACTAAACCAAATTTGAAAATATATTCTTCAAGTCTTTGTTCATAAGAATTGATCAATAAAGAATGCGACTTCTCAACTTATTAGTAAAATTGTATAAAAATATATCACTTTTTGCATTTATTCTATTGGTTTTGTTTTTCTTAATCTTCTAAAATAAACAAGAAATTAATGTTCTACCAGTTACAGAATGTAGAACAAGTTTAGTAAAATAGTATCAGACAATTAATATTTAGAGTTACTGATATAAACAATGTACACTTGTATCCATGTACTCAAACTATAGTTGTTTCCTAATAATTTAACAGTTAAAGATCATTTTTCATTTATTAGAGTAGTTTATTCAGTATAAAAACTTTTTTCGTACATTCACAACATAAATTACGTTTGATTAATGGCAACATATAAATGATTGAGAATTTTGTTGACATCGCGAAGACTAAGTTTTTTGATTGATGATCTCAATTTTAATATGTCTACAGAAGTTATGTGCGCACTGATGGTTCAATGGTAGAATGCTCGCCTCCCACGCGGGTGACCCGGGTTCGATTCCCGGTCAGTGCAAATGTGATTCCACGCATCGCTTTTTTTTGTCTTTTTGCAAATGAAAAAGCATGAATGATTTTGCTAATCGTAATAAATTATTCAAATATTTATTTACATTCTATTGCACTGTAAATAATAGTAAAAAAAAAAAAGATAAAAAAGAAAAAAAAATTCAAAATCATGTTTAATTCAAATGCAAAAGGAAAGAATTACTGCGAATCAAATTTTGATGTATTTTCTTGTTGTTGAAGGTTATCCAAAGCTTGTTCAAGTTCTTTTAAATTTAATTTCAATAATTCAACTTCATCCAAACGTCCAGCTATCTGAGCTTGTCGAATATATTCTGTTACTTGATAAACTTGTTGAACAAGTGGATTAAGTTCTTGTGTTTGTACTAATAAACTACGATCAATTGTTGGTCTCCAACCTGAAACATCTTTTTTTGGTGTTGTTGGAGAATCTGTTAATGATATTTTGGAAACTAATTCAGCTTTAGCTGCACGTTCTAATTCATTTCGTTCTTCAACTAATCGTTTACGTTCATCACGTGCACGTTGTACATCATCTTCACTTGGTACACGTCTTGTTGATATAGCATAATTTTGTAATAGATGTACGGCATACATTCGTATATTTCGACAAAGAGCTGCATAACGCATTTGTGATTGTGTATCATCTTCATCGATATTTGGACATGACTCAGCTAATTTTGCAATATATTTTCTATAGATTAATTTGGAAAAAAGAGAGTATTAAAAGAATGTTTTTCTACTAAACATACGATGTCGAATCAATCTTTTCATAACAAGAAGTTAATTGTCGATATAATCGTTGACCATCAATTATTTGATATTTTGTATCACCACTCCTATAAGATGAAATTTAAGAGTTGTTATTTTCTTTTTATTTGAAATGTTTAAAAAAGTAAACTTGTTGTCAATGCTGCTCTATAATAGGCAAAAGTGTAGAGCTCTTCTAAGCTTCTACCATTTTGCCGGACGGAAACGGTGTCTTTCCTACGAGTTCCACTGAAAATTTGCGGATTCGAACGCTGGAATCATTGATAGAACATTCATGTAAAATTGTTACACTGAATAAAAAAAACTTATTTCTATTGTTACATACATCGTTAATATATAACTTCTTTTCTTTTGATGATAATATATACGATACGTGTCGTAAGAAGCAAGAAATGCTCTTGAGTGTTGCCTAACTTAGGATACAATCAGCTCGTACTTTTTCTGTGTCCGTTCTATTCTGACTCTGCTAGATCAATAATACCACCATTCTACCAGTTGGTACCTACAAAAAGATCTTTTCGCTGTATGAGCTACTAAAACTCAGCTTATTCAGACTAGTCAGAATCTACATTAGAATTCTTGGATTCATAGAATGCTTTGGAAGATTCTAGGAAATTTCATAATCATATAAGTATTA